AGAGTGTGGGAAAGTGGGGACGAGGAGGCCAGACTCTGGCCCTGGCCATGGCCACAAACTTTCTCAACAACTCCTTTTCCTTATCTAAAATAAGGAAATTTACCTGGATGATCTCTAAAGTATATGTTAGTATCTTAATGTAGGTGCCTGTGCTGAACTAGAAAGCAATGTTGGATTTCACCTTGGTTGAACCTAAGAGAATTGTGTTTTATAGACTGCTGAAGAGAAACTGATCTTTTCCTCTTCTGTAATTTTCCTATCAGTGTTCTGTGGCTGTAGAGATGAGAGCAGGGTCTCAACTGGGTCCTGGATATCAGCATCACGCACAACCCAAGTGAGTTGGGGCCTGTGTCTGTTTTCTCTCCTCTAATATTTCCACCACCATCATTTCTCCCTACCATCCCTTCTTTTAAGAGAATATATAGGTTCTTGTTTACCCTTTAGACTACTGGCCCTACTGGCAGACTACAGTAGGCAGCAGCAGTGCTGATAACTTCGGAAAGCTTGATAAGAGCAATTAGAGCTGCAAGAACAGGAGATCATGGAAGACTGGCTCGCTCTTTTTCATATTTTGCCAATGCTAAAAGCTTACAGAAGCCAAACTGAGATCATCTATAAGGAGGGGAGGCTAAAGGCTCTTCTTGTAATGCATTCTTTCCTAACTTGCCTCTTGGTCTTCTTACTGCACTTAAATGTTCACTAAAGTAAAACAATGATGGAATTTATGGTTGGGAAAGGAAATCATACATTTCGCTCTTCTATTAAACACATACCCAAGAATCTGGCCCATTCTTTTTCTATATTAGTAAAACTTCTTTTAAAATATCTACCTCTGTAAATCTATATGTCCATATTTAACGTGTATTCCTTAGACCATTTAGAAAATCATTATAACAGGATAAAGATGGGAAGTCCTATTTTTTTAATTTAGTACTAGATAAGCATATTTTATAAGTTATTTACTTTTTCAGAAGGACTTGAATTTTTTCCATGATAAACCACAAATTCTCTTAAAGCCTTCCTAGAGAGTAAATTGAATGTGTTATTGATTGCGAAATTCAACACTAAATGTTGGTTTTCACGTTTTAGGCGCAAGAAGCCATGAACTGACAGTCTAATTAATGAAAGAACATTTTGTGTCAGTAATTTCTTCAAGACCATGCCAGAAGGAGTCTTCTGAGTCATCTTGTAGAAGTCCAACTTTGACTATCACAGACCTCAGATACATCATACACTGGCCTAGATCAGAGATTTCTGTCTGGTTCCAAAGACATCTAGGATTCAACAAACTTTTTATATCCCTTGCCATATTTAATATTAATAGAGAAAGACCCCCCTTTTCTCATTGCTGCATGAACTTTTTAATAATGCTATTTTTGTATATTTGTATACTTATAAACTAATTCATGCAAGTGTTTGTCTTGGGTGATTAAGGAAGAATATATCTAGATCACGCTTTATTTTTTATTGTGACTTTTCCAGCTCTTGTCTGAATATTAAGGTTTTATAAACAAAACAAATGCTGCTATTGATTAGCTGCAAGAATGCACTTTAGACATATTTGACAATTCAAACTTTCAAAATAAAGATGTCAATGACTGGCCAATACTAAAACCATTTTAAGAAGTCGTTTTGAATTTTGTATGTATATATTCACTTTCTGACACTTAGATATACCAAAAGAATTGAAATAAAAAGCACTAAGAAATACAAAGTTTGTGAGAGTCATAATACATATTCTCAGCACCTAGCATTGTGCTTTGCATTTAGCTGGCACTCATTTGTGGGATGAATTAAAAGAAAGCACTAAAAGTTTCCCTCACATTGGGGCTACTTGGTTTAGCACAGAGAGGAATGGCTTTAAAAGTGGGTATTTCCCCTGTCAAAATCAGGAATCTTACTCCAACCCACATGTATAACCTGCTGGAATATCATGGCCCATGGACAATCCTTAATACACAGTGTTTGACCTGGAATCTTCCCTTTTTTTACTTAATTCAATTGACTTAAGAGCATTCATAAATTTCGAAGAATGAAAATTTTAATTCTTGATATACCTAAGTTAAATCCATATACAAAAAGTAGAATGATGTTTGCATGGCAGCATGAATCCATTTTTTTTCTCTCCCCTTTTACTTACAATTAATTGGTTGTTCATAACTGAACAAAAATGTCTCTGCACATTACACTAGAACATCTAAGAGATTTTTACTTTCAAATGCTTCAGAAAGTAGGTAGATAGGACCTCAGAGGGGACTTTCTGATCCAAGGGAGCCAGTGAGCCGGCCCCACCCCACTTTTAGTGATGGGGTTGCGGGGGTGGGGGGTACCGGAACTGGAGAGAGCAAAACAGGCTGGACACACAAGGGAGATAGAAAATTTGTAGAGGTCCGGCCAAGCTGATGGAAGAACCAGGTACACCAACAGATGGGATAGAGAGAGGCCAATTTGGAGGCGAGGAGAAAGTCATTTTCATCCAATCACTGGGTGCCTTATTGCAATTGAAGTTGAAGTGGAAAGTTCCCCTTCATTCCTAACACATCTTTTATACTTGGGGGAGTTGGGGGGGGGCGGGTGGAGGCAAAACTTACTCATAATCCCCGTCCCTCTCCGCACACACAAAGGGCACTTAAAGATTCTAGATTCCAAATCCAGGCTCTACCGCGCAGTCATCCTGGACTAGTTACCAGGTCTACATCTTAATTTTGCCATCTATAAAATGGAGATAATGGTACTTATGCTGGGAGAACTAAAACTTTACAGCGTATGGCTCAGTACCTGGGACATAGGCGCTTAAATGCTACTGCTGTAATGTTGCAAGTTTCTCATTTCCTCTTACATTCACTTATTTTACCTGAGACGCTGTGCTAAGCACGGGGCCTCCAAGCAGTCACATTGCCTGCTTGGGGTTAAGGGGGTGGAGCTGGGATGTTATTAAATGATCGTCTAAATAACGTTACACGAGCTACAGTACCTAGGGTGACGTCTATATACCTAGGTAACTTCTTCCTTAAAAAGGCTTTACCGTTTACGCGCCCTGAACTTCACCCAAATCAATAGAATCAACACTTACAGGTGGCTGGCTACTAATTTAACAAATGAGCGAGACGCGCTTTGTGCGCAAGCGCCTCCACGGGTCGTTCTGCTCCGCCTCTTCCGCCAGGCGCAGGCGTGGATTGGCCCGCGTGGCCGGTATAAGAAGCGGCGCGCAGGCGCATCTGCCCCTTTCCTCAGCTGCCGGTAAGGTGCTCTGTCCTTCCGAGGAAGCTAAGGCCGCGTTGGGGTGAGGCCCTCACTTCATCCGGCGACTAGCACCGCGCCCGGCAGCGCTTGTCCAGCACCGCCTGCACCATGGCCTCCGTCTCAGAGCTCGCCTGCATCTATTCGGCCCTCATCCTGCACGACGATGAGGTGACGGTCACGGTGAGTGTGGGCCTGGCGGGCGGCGGCTTGCGGACGGCAGATTCCCCGCCCTCCCAGTCAGTCAGGCCCTTCCGGCCGTAGACAGGGCCATCAACACCCCCACAGTGGCTTCTGGCAGGGAGACCATCATCAGGTGGGCTCACGTGCAGGTTGGCCTGGGGTCTGGGCCACGTGCCTGCCGGGGAGGGGCTGGAGTACATTTGCGGCTGCGCGCTGTGGTTTTGAAAGCCTTTAGAGAAAATTGCGTGGCGCGTGGGCAACTTAATACGCACATAATATGTATTCCAGAACACTATTATCTTTTTGATGTAATTTCCTTGACTTTCTTTGGCCCACTTAGGCCCTATGGGGCCAGGCTGCATGGTGTGGAGGAGAGCACATGAGCTCTGCTCCACCTCCCAGCCTTGACTCTTAACTTAAAATAGCTGTATGACTTGGGCAAGTTCCAGCCTCTGAAATGGCAGAGAACTCACCACCTTGTAAGGTGCCTGGCACACAGGAGCAGAAGTATTTTTTGCTCATGACAGTGGAAAAAGAGTTAAGAAATGATCATCTTAAATACACAAAATACAGATAAAATATTTGAACTGGATAAACACGGTTTTGTACACGTTTTGAGTGATTTACTTTCAATTTGCAGTATTTTGGAGACATTTAGAAAGCTACATTTTGATCTGATTTATTGGTATTTTGTTTGTTTTAGGAGGATAAAATCAATGCCCTCATTAAAGCAGCGGGTGTAAATGTTGAACCTTTCTGGCCAGGTTTGTTTGCAAAGGTAAGGTAATGGTGGCAAGGTAATTTGGGAAGACCTACTAATTTACTAAGGTGGTAATAATCGACATCCAAAAGCGCCATAAGGCCTGATATTCCACTGGACCAACTCTTAAGTGATATAGTTCCTCACATTTCTATCTCTAGGTGCTAATGAAGGTTTCAGTTTGTCTTGGCTTTGTATCTTTCCTTTCTTGATCTCAGACTCTGATTTCTCTTTTTGTTCTCAAACCATGGTAAAAGTATTATAACCAGGTCATTACTTCTAAAAAAGTGTCACTCAGGAGATAACTCTCATATTACCCAAGCAAATCTTTAAGTATGATAGTGTGCTTTAATGGAAATTGGGTGTGGTGGCCTCTTATTGACCACTTACTGAGTTGGGACATAAAAGACAAGGCTTCCTACCCAAGGAACTTAATCTATGGCAAGTGGAGCCCATATAGGCTCTTAACTATTCACCTTGCATCCTGCAAACGCTTTGAAAGATTGAAAACCTTGTACTTATATCTTTAGTAAATGATCTTGGAAAAAGTACTAGAATTACTTAGCCGAGAAAATTGAATTCGCAAAAGGAGACCTGGAACTGTGGAAAGAATCCTGGTTTAAGTGCTTAAGGAAATGAGTTTAACAAGCCAGCATTTGGGGACAAGTTTTCTCATCTATAAAAGGAATATATTTAGTTGTACCCTACTACTTAAATACAGCAATGCAAGTATGAGATTTAAAATGAGTTTTTTGTGATGTTTACATTTAATATAGCTCTGGGGGTTGCCTTAATTTAAGTTTTTGGAATCTAAGTAGCACACTGTCACTGGCAGACTCCAGCAAAGAATGAAAGAAGAGAAATATATAGTGATAGGAATTGATCACTACGTTAAAAAGGGTACTTTTTTCCTGAGTGAGTTCTATAACAAAAGGACAACTGAGCATTTGCCTATTTATGCCTTTGTGTTGCAGGCTCTGGCCAATGTCAACATTGGAAGCCTCATCTGCAATGTAGGGGCTGGTGGACCTGCTCCAGCAGCTGGTGCTGCACCAGCAGGAGGTCCTGCCCCTTCCACTGCTGCTGCCCCAGGTAGGAAACTGTATTGGAGGGAGGAGTGAAGATTTAAAAGCTGATGGAATTCCTAAAACCACAGGCAGCTTGATGAGGGGAGTCCTAGGGTATTCTGACCGTGTGAGTTGGAGGGCCTGGAGCTCTTTGGAGTTCAAAATACTGACAGGTGTGTAACTTTTTTTCTTTTTAAGCTGAGGAGAAGAAAGTGGAAGCAAAGAAAGAAGAATCTGAGGAGTCCGATGATGACATGGGCTTTGGTCTTTTTGACTAAGCTTCTTTTGTAATATGTTCAATAAAAAGCTGAACTCTGCTGCTGTTGGTCTTGCTGAGTGTCTGGGGGTGTGCTATGTAGAGGTGGTCTCACTTGTGTAATTCTGGCTTTCAACGTTTTATACTATGACACAAGCTGGGGTCTTTTTCCTCTGCCACCATCTCATGATGGGAAATATTACACAAGCTGGACATTATTGCAGCATTGAGAACTGCATATTAACTGTTGCATCCTTGGTTTAGTTCAATAATACTGAAGGAATAAGGAAAATTCAGGTTAAGTCCCAGTTACAGAAAGTGGACAAAACCAGAATTCCAACTCCTTTGAAAAAGGAACAAATGGTATGAAGTGGAAACTGGATCATTTAAAAATGCCAAGGCACTGTAGAACTTGGATTTATAAAATGTGATTATTGTATGTTCAGAGCACCTGTGATGTGCAGGGCACTTAGGACATCTTGTCCTATCTCCATTTAATGAGGCATGAGATTCAGGAGTTGATGAAAAGCAGGACTTTCTAGCTCTACTCCATTGTACAGGATCATTTGTAAGTTACTACAACTGCTTAGGGTATATGGCTGGTGTATCTTGAAAAAATGAACATAGAACCCAGAAAGTCCACTTCAAGGTATTACCCAAGAGAAACGTGGACATCGAGATGGCTTGGAATGTAAAGCAGCATTTAAAAATAGCAAAAATCTCAGGTTTATCAACCAGAAAATGTCCTAAGCAGTGAAAAACTACAGATAAGTTCAGTAATTACAGAACATTACCCTTTTCATAAGGCTTTAAAATAAGATGTATCAAGCAAACATAAAAAAGAATAGTGAACTAAGGACCTTGAAAAGGGGGAGGGTACACTGAGGAAAAGCATATACATGTTTTACTGTCCAAATTTTGGAGTTTTCTCGTATTAGAAAAGGGCCATTGTGAAGCAAAAAATGTGTCCTGAAATTGACCCACGTGTTAAGTGCCTACCTTTCCTTTACTTCCTCATCCATCAGCTAACTTGAGGGCCAGCACTGCTAATCTCAAGTGTGTCGTGTCATTGTGCACAGCAGTCCCATGGTCAAGACCCCATGAGGTTACCATGCCTGAGGTTACAAACCATTAAGTGAGTGGAAGGGTTAAAATCAGCCTTTGCTTCCAAAGTTTGTTCTCTTAGCAGCATCTTTTCCTGTGCTTCTGCTCCTTCCCTCCCCCCTGCATCAGTTTCCTCATCAGTATGGTAGTACCTGCCTCAGAGTTAACAACAGGAATACCTTACATGAGAGAATACTGACACTTTGTTGAGGAAATAGTCTGGGTAAAAAAATTAGAAAGGAAAACAGCATCCAAGACAGCTGAAAATTAAGTGGCAAATTGGGATATTATCAATTGTATTATTCAACAATACAATTGCAGATGTCCATTACAGCAAGATAAGCTTAATATGTCCTACCTCAGTTTACTTTTTCCCCGCCCTAGGAAACCCACCTCGGGCTATAGTAAATCTCTGCTCTACGTTCCCCCATGCTACTTAAAGTAGAAGTGTAATTATGTGTTTGTGACAGATCAATATCTTTTCACATGGTAAATTCGGGAATCAGGGCTGTCTGTTTTGCTCACCTGTATCACTAGTGCTTATCACAATGCCTGGCTCATTGTTGGCGTTCAATAAGACTTCAACTTCTCCTTTATGCGTGAAGAAATCGGAGCCCCGACAGGAGGAGAAACTTGCTCAGCAGCAATTAGCGGAGCCAGAGCTGGAATCCACGTCCCTGGACTAGCAAATGCTCTTTCCACTGTAGTACGCCGAACAGCGGCAGATAATCTGTCCTGCCCCCACCACAAGCCTCATTCATTCAATTCATATTTAGTACGCACCTTCCAGGTTGTCAGGTACAGATGTGGGTGTTCAGGTCCTGTGGTGGGAACCAAGGGACCCAGACGAGGGTGGAAGGCCAAGACACTGGTACAAGTTTCGGCCTTACTCACTTTTTAATCCTAAACCCGCAGGACCCGGCTCCACAGACGTAACGCGAGGGTGTCGGGAGATTCCCTCGGGTGATGCCCGAGTCAGGCCTTACTGATGAACCGGGAATTCTCATCAGGTGGGATAGTAGAACCGAGGCAGGGCGTCCCTGAGCCCACATACTTCTTTCTGGACACGGTGATGTGTCACCTCCTCGGTCACGTCCACAAAGCCTAGGATAAAAGATGCATAAAAGTTCGGAGACTGAGGCCAGGTGGCCGGATGAAGCACTCTCAGCTCACGTCGGCCTTTCATTTACAAAGAACCAAGCTTCTGAACTGGCACAGGTGCAGGAGAGTCGTGCTCCTGCGCTCAGTTCTAACCCACCGCTGGCCAATCAACGTCCGCGTTGAGAAAAGGGGGCGGGATCATAGGCGGGGCTAGAACCCGAGTATGGCCGAGAGAAGCCGAACTTCTCAATTGCACTGAGGCCTATTGACCACCGGAGGTGCTCGAGGAGCGCTGGTGGTGGTTTGCGCATGCCCATTAGCAGTAGTCCGGGTAGTAATAATAGCTTTTCAAATCTGGTTTAGTGGCCGCATCGCGGTTTCGAGTGCTGGTTAGTGGATTAAGCAGACTAATCTCTTGTGAAACCTCTATGTCAGGAGATTCCAGCTTTTGTTAACCAGC